TTGCTGTTAGAGAATAGGCTATTAGAAGACCTATGGGTAAGTTATATTTTGCCAATCACTAGGGATCCCTGTATTTTCCTTAGAAAGATCTAGTAGCAGTCACTCTTAGAAATGGATTGCTGAGCCAGATACACTTCCAGTTTTATCATGTAGGGCAGTCCTCTTCTCCTGGCTCCAGGCCAAAGGATTGTGTGGATTCTAAGAAACATGGTTGTAGGCTCACGTTTGTGGAGATGAATTATTATTATAGCCTTTAAGTTAAGCAATCAGCTTTAAAGGCATCTTTACAAATACATATCCACTCATTCAAACAGACAAAAAGCCTTTATCAGTAAGTGATTTGCTGACTGGTTGCATGCCTGAGTTCTGGGTCTGGAGATGACTAACTCTGCTTTTCCCATCTAAAATAAAATACTGCTCTGCACTGAATTGTCTTTTGCCAGTTGCTGTTATATTTCAGGCCTGAGATAATTCTTCCTGTTAGTGCAAATTCCTGTTTCGGTCATTGCAAACTGAGCATAGTAGTGTATAGTGGAGTGAAGAAACCCCTTTTTTACTTAATTTCACTGTATTTCATGTTTTTTTACCATGTCATTTGTGCCATTTCATGCCAGTAATTTTACTGTTTTACTTTCTTCAGGGCAATTCTTGCTCACAATTGATACTCATTTCCTAGGACTACCTTAGAGTTTTAAATATTCAGCCATTCTCTCGTGACCTAGTGATTTTCTTCCCCACAATCTTTAGACATCATTCATGTGCTTGAGACATGAAGAAAACATCCTTCAACACTAAAAACTACATGTAGTGAAGGGGGAATTCAGGTTTTCAGATTTGTATCACCAGTTGGGGGAAGGGAAAAAAAAAAACTGCCGAGGCAGGCAAGTACTGTTTCATATTAACATCTATCGTCAATGAAGAGGTAAAAATCAAAGCCCCTGTGTGTGAGGCAGGGTTAGTGAACTGCCAGTGATTCTCCCAGCAACTGACACAAAGGAATCTGTGAGTATCAAAGCTGAGGCAGCAAGCTTAGTGTCAGCTCTTGCCTAGGGAGTAGAAGAAAACATCACTTTGTCTCTGCTTTCACTGCTTAAACACACACATCATTCACTAGTAACCATTTACTCTGCTGTCAAAACTGTTTCAAGAGAGTGCTACATTTGATTAATTGTAAAATGCATGCAAAAGGAAAAAAAGTCTGCATCCCCTGAGGTACTTAGTTGGGGAGAATTTCTGCATGCACTTCTTAATTTTTCCATCCTATAAATATGCCTGTAATGTTCCAGAAGTGCTCTGTTGCTTCTAGTAAAGTCATTTTTATTAGAGAGCCTGGTGCACTCATCCTAATTCTAGTTAATGTTCTCTCTCTTTCTCTCAGTGAAGCACATTATGGCATCCTCAGCCTCTTGTACTAACAAAAAAGTGACCAGCACAACCATGTGTGCAGTACATGATTCATAGTGCTGCTTTCTGAATTGTCCAGTGGGTAATTGCAGTACAAAAACCAGAGAAACAGATGTAGACCCTAAACCTTGGCTGTAAATTTTTGTTTTATGATTATGGGTTTCAAATGTGCTATGTCACACTGACAAATATACAGTAACACCAGAGGAAATAGATTTCTGACTTGAACTTGTGCTTTTTATTTCACTTATAGCTAAGAATATGTTTATTGTAAAGTTTCTGCTATCACAGTCTGAGAGAAAACAGATCAAAGCACTGAAGTGAAACCACAATTTCTTTGCATGGACAAAGTCAAAGTTATTGGAGAGTTGTTGCCTCCTCGCACCTCTGTGGGCGCTGGGTAGGCATTTAAAATATGTGGCAACACTTAAGGCTTCATTACATTTGAACTAGAGGATTATTCGTTAGCACAATAATTAATATTAGTCCTGATCTAAGTTAGAAAATACTCCCCATTTTATGAATGTAGCTTTTCCTGATACTCTGTTGAAGAAAAACAATTATTGTGTTATTTCAAAGTGAAATAAGAGATGCATAGGTTACTGTATTGTAGAAAAAGTGTGTGAACAAGCCATTGGGCTGTGTGAGGAATTTTTAAATTTCATGTGAATTTAATAATAAATATAAGCATTTGTGCAACTATTATTTGTAACAAAGCATGATGAGCTACCTGGCTCATTTTCATACAGTGAGAAAAAGCAGTCCTTTTCCAATTCATACACCCTTAAGCATCACTTCCCGACATTTACTTTCAAAAGTTGCCACTGTACATTTTGAGGTACAACCAACAAGTGTTATTTTTGAATATGGTACTATAAGACTGCTAATGGGATAAGCATAACTGTATTTCTGTTTGTCTGATTCTGTTTACTTTTAACTCACATAGGCAACATGTTTTTCTTGGCATAAGCTTAAACTGTTCCAAGAACCCTAGTCCCCACAAAAAGCTGTTTTCTCCCTAAATTGGAGACTGAAAAAAACATACTGTGTTTTGTGTCATCCTTTCCAGTTATTTTTGTGGTGATACATTACGTATTCCAAGTTTCTCGTGCATCCTGTGTCGTCTGGTTAGAAAATAACTGTCTGTTAATTTAGTTTTGCTATTCCAAACAAAACTGTAGCAATGTAGCCAGCCAAGATTTAAAAAAAAAAAGAAAAAAGAAAAAAAAGAAAAAAAAGTTTAGCCACTTTTCCACTTGGCTATTTTAATGCAACAAACACTGTTTTGCTGTGCTGAAATAGTTTAAACAAACCTTCCCTGAAGGATGGCTTTTTCAGTAAGTGTATGCTGTGCATAAATTTTAGATTAGAGAGTGTCAGGGGCTTCTTCAACTGCAGGAGTTCAGGCTGGGGGAGGACACCCCAAAGGGCTGAGAAAGTCCTTAAAAGTTCTTTAAAAAGACGCTGTTAAACTCCAGCATTTGTAACTCTTCTGCCTGAAGGGAAGAGGAAAAGAGAGGATGCCTGCTGCAGGGACAACTACAGCTCTCCTGTTGAGGGAGGAAGGAGGCTAAGAAAAGCTTTTGTTTTAATCTCTTCAAAAGGATTCACTTCCAGATTGCAGCAGGTCTTTTTGCTGGCCGCTGGTTTTCAATGTGGGTATATCAGTTTCAGAGAACAAGTGCGTGTGCTGTGTGGGGGATTTGTTTTGTGGTTTGGTTTGGTTTTTTTGGGTTTTTTTTTTTTTTTTTCTAAATTCTTGAATCTGTGTGAAAAGTTTTGTTAATACAATCTGCAGGCATTGTCAGAGAGCTTTCGGTTCATCAAAGGACTTTTTGTGGAGAGGGGACACCACATCCATTAAAGTGGCTGCGCAGGTCCCAGGGTGAGTCTCTCTGCAGCATTTCTTTACGGTCACCAGTGGTGTGCCATGCCTGCTCCATGTGTCCCTCTCTGCCCAGCTCCTGTCTTGGGCTTTGCAAGAAATGGGCAATAATCAAGTGTTCCATTTTTCTAATTTCTGCACCTGAGCTTGCTTTGGAGTGGGGAAGCAAGGCTCCCGTGTGCCTTGCTCTTGGATGATGCTCACTGCTGGGGCTGAGGTGGCTTGGCTTATTCATTTAAAATTAAAGCATGCATGTGGTTATTGAGCTCATGTCCTTCCCACTGGGGCGGAGGGAGTGTTCCCAGGCTGTTTTTTTTAATTTTTAAATTGTCCATAGGAATAAGAACTGGTGGAAGCCTCCATGGAGTCTTTCTAGGTGAGCAAGATGTTTGAGAAGGTAGTTACCTACCTAAAAATCACCGAGCTCTCTGCTGGCTTCATGCAAGCGGTGGGCCCGCACAGGGCTGGCTGTGGCATCGTGGCCACAGACTTGGGAAGCCTTTGACACCGAGAGCGGCCATGAGAGAGGGCTGTCGGCAGCGTGGTTTAGCACGGACCTTACTGGGTGGGAGCGGCCCCTTGCCTTCGGAGGGGCTGTGAGGGCTTGGACGGGGCCGCCTGCCCCAGGGAGGTCTCCCGGCCCAGCACCATGGGCTGGGTCCTGTTCCCCATGGATCAGCTCGTGGCCTTTCTCCCCTCCCGGGGAGCTGGGGCTCATTAGCCCTCTGAAAGCTGATACAGCCCCTCCGGGGCCACACGAGCGGCCCCAGCCCCTCGCTGCTAATCAGAGACAGGCAGGACCCGGCGGCGGCGGGGCGGGGGAGGGAGAAGAGGGGATGCGTGGCTGCTTCCTGCCCTGGGCTCAGTGGTGGGGACAGACCCTCCCGGGCAGTGCCAAATCTGCCCCATCGGGGAAGTCAGGGAGCGCTGGGTGACTTCGGAGCCAGTGTGAGGGACGGATGGTGCGGAGAGATGGGGCCTGACCGCCCCCCCACCCCCAGAGGGGATGCGCCCATGCGATTCCCCTCTGGGAGTGGGGCTGGCACCGGACACAGTCCCTGGGGGTGGTATTGAGAGGGGTGCCCGCCGGCGAGTGTCGGGACAGCGCCAGGATGAGGCTGCTCCCGAGCCCAGCCCGCCAGCCCAGCAGCTGGGGCGAAGCCCGTGTCCCTGGCTGTGGAATAGCGGCAGCGCCTGCGCCTCGCTCGCGGCCTCTCCGGGGAGGAAAGGAATGTGTGTGTGTGTGTGTGTATCTGTGTGAGGCTGGGAGGGGGGCACAGAAGAACTTTCAGCAAATTGAGCTGGAATTTTCAAATTCTCCGTTCCCTGTAGCCGCTGAGAACACCGCTGTTTTACTTCCCGCCCCCTTCCCCTCCTCCTCGTTGTTGTGTTTGGCTTTTTTTTTCCTTTTTTTTTTTTAAATCACTTTATTTTTCTGGATCTTTTTGTAAGTTGCGCTCCCCGTCCGCACCCGCCCGCTCGGCGGCCGCGGGGCGACTCCGGCAGGGCTGGGGCTCGCCTTTGCCTGCCCGCCCGCCTGCCTGGCTTTTTTGCAGGGCTGCTGGGAGTTGTGAAGGCGTGTGAGAATCCTGGGAGCTGGTGATGTCAGACCGCTTGGGTCATTTGAAGGTTAGCAGCCTGGGAAGGGTTCACGGAAAGTTCACTCGCATATATTAGGCAATTCAATCTTTCATTCCCTGTGACACAAGTAGTAGGAAGTGAGCTGTTCAGAGGCAGAAGCATCTATTCACGGCCGAGGGGGATCCCGAGCCTCCACCGGAGCTGTTTTATCCCGGGGAGGTGGGCGATTCGCACGGCGTGGGACGCGGCACACACCCGGCGGGCGCCCCAGGAGCTGGACTGACTCTCAAGAAATTTTGGGGGGAAATTGATGGTAGCTAAAACTTGGAATGCGGCTCGCATCCCCCCATCTTGCTGGATTGGCTGGGCAGCCTGGAAAATGGTAAATGATCATTTGGATCAATTACAGGCTTTTAGCCGTGTTGTCTGTCATAATTCATGATTCTGGTCTGGGAAAAAGACCAACAGCCTACGTGCCAAAAAAGGGGCAGAGTTTGATGGAGTTGGGTGTACTTTTATGTGCCATTTTCCTCCACACCTAGAGGAAAGCACTTTTGCAGGCATTCTGTGCAGGGGGAATCATGTTTGACTGTATGGACGTTCTAGCAGTGAGCCCTGCTCAGATGCTGGATTTCTACACTGCGAGTCCGTCTTCCTGCATGCTCCAGGAGAAGGCTCTCAAAGCATGCTTCAGTGGATTGGCACAAACAGAGTGGCAACACCGGCACAGTGCTCAATGTAGGTCCCAACTGTTATTTTTCCACTTTAAAGCAATTACTATTATTATAATTGTTGTTGTTGTTACTTATTTTATTTATTTCCTTGCATGTATTTAAAAAAGAAAGACTGGTAATTAAGCGCAGAGGTAATGAGGGGTGGGGTGAGTTTTTGTGCAAAATGTGGTTTGCAAGCTTTTTTTTTTTCTCCTTTTGGCAAGAAAGGAAAAAGGAAAGAAGCACCGGACTTCTTTCTGTTTATCCCTTCTCATGTGCCATATTGATCCTAACAACAGTTGTGGAGCCAAACAGGAACACATAAAATCGTAATGTAATATAGCAAATACTTGCAAAACTCCAACCAGTGAAAGATTAATTTACATAACACCTCTGTGGTAGCTTTTTTTTCCCCCCCTCCTTAATCTAATTTTGTAGCACATTTGCTAATCAGGATGCATGTTGTCTTGAAGTGCATTTTAGCAGAACAGCCAAGCAATTAAAATGTTGATCTCTACAGTTCTTGCAAAAATGTGGGACTGCTGTGGGTAGGTGCCATTCCAAAAATCAGACAGTAGTTAAAAGTTTCCGAAGAAAAGGCAATATTTCTTTGTACTGACCTTGCTGCCACCTTTCTTCTTCACTTTGTTGCTCTAAGAAGTTGCTGTTTTGCTAGAAAACTACTTACTGTGAACACCCTTTGAGTTTAACCATCAATTATTTCTATACCTTGAGATTCAGACAGCGATGCACTGTTAACAGAGAAGTGAGAGTTAGTGGTGGGACACTTCTGAAAATGTGATGCTATGTTATAGGGTCTTGATTTGTTGCTGAAATAGATAGATGATAAACAATAGCAGTATTTTAACACCCCAGTTTCGAGTCTGAGAAATGACAAAAAGTGCCAGAATACATCACCTTATACTATGCTTAAAAGCTTGCAGGATGCTTCACTGCTCTGACGGTGATTTAGATAAATGACTTGGCTATCTATCAAAATGTTTTTAGCACGCTCTCGGACACTTCAGTACACCATTAACTGTATAATGCTGTTGGAAGTTTCTGTTTTGCGGTATGTTAAAAAGTTAACTAGGAATTAGAAGAGTTCTCCCCTCGACATTTCAAAGGGGTGGAGTAGGTAATTGAAAAATAAATTTAAGAGTGTCTGGTGAAATGGTGTGTTTCACTCGGCTCAAAAGTTTTCAGACACTATATGACATCTGTGTGGGTTGAGTAATGAAAACAGAATTGTAAAAATCAGTGACTAGCAGCCTACAACACTGCAAATGTTTTGATGTCTTTACAATTAAAAGGAGACTGTGAAGTTCAGCATGGGATATTTCTTTTATTCACACTGTTTTCAAAATGCTTCAAACAAAATAAACAAACAAAAACAAAGCTTTTACTTCAAAATAGTGTTACTAGCTATGAGACAGCTTCAGTTAGCAAAAACAAAAATCCAAACCAGATGTTTTACTAAAAAAAGCATTTTCCTTCTTTCATGGTTTAAACTTCAGTATAACTTCAGTGGTGATATTGCGGAAACTTGGAATTAAATAAACTTTCCTGGAGTAGGAGGCATGTATTCTGTCGTTAAAAGCTTACACTTGCAAAATATTCTTTAAATAACTCCTGGCTTTAAAATGTCCTGCTCTTTCTCTTGTGTGTTGTTAATACCTAGAAGCAGGATTCTTAAAAACAAAATATATGGTGTTTGTTCTTGGGCAAGTTAAACACAGGATTACCCTTATCAGAGTGGAATGAGTGGTAAATATGTCATTTGCCTAGGGCCTGTGATAAGAGACAAGTGTTGATAACAGGAAAGTTTAGCTAATCAAAGAAACTCATATTAAAAGAGCAAATAAAAATACAGGAAAATGTATTCAGAAATCCAGTCTTGTAATTTTGTGAGCAGTAGGATTAATCTTCCCTGCATGGGCATTGAAAATCGGGCTGAAACCTGAATCATAATACAGTGGCTGTAATTTGAACTGTGAAAGTTAATGGTATAGAAATGTGGAAAAACAATTTAGTTAAGAGTCCAAATTAAGATTTCTGTTTGAAATCTTAGAGCAAATTTTGTTTTCAGTTTTGAGGAAAGTGTAAGCAGTTTATGCATGAGTAAATATACAAACGAATTATGAAATACTAAAATTCTCTTGAAGTGTAAGATTTTTGTCTTGCATCTCGTGAAAATATGACAGAATTAGAATTTTCGTGGTCCAGAAAGCTTTTAATAGTTTAAAGGTTGCTCCAGTGCTTATAAATACAAAGATAGCAATATTTTATTCTAACTTTAGCATTTCCTATTTCTCCATTTTTAAGAAGACCTTTGTGATTTGATGTAATGTAATAATAATCTAATTTTGTAATTGTTAGAAGTGTGATAGGGTTTTTTGGTCTAATTTGTTGTTTAATTTTTGTCTCTACAAAAAAACCCCAGTACACCTGCAGCCATTGACTTAGGCCTTAGAAATATTGCTTTGATAGAGACGTGATTGTAGAGTAAAAGGTAAATGGTTGTTGAGGGAATAGTACGTGGGTAGTGCAAACTCAGAGCAGGCCAGTAACAATCCCAGACAGCGTCAGGGTTTCAACTGAAATGCTGGCAAAATTTGCCATTGCAGGGTTTAGGGCAGAATGCTGTAGGTCTCCAACTTCAGCACATCTTCCGTACGTTAATCCTGTTACAATTCACTAAGCTAGTGCACTCCTGCAGCATCATGAATTTTCTAGTCCACGAGGGTCTGCAAAGTGAAAATAGAGGATAAGACGCAACCCAAACATGACCTTAACTTGTGTGGTATTTTTTTTCCTCTCCCCTGTGGGAGGAAAAACCTGCCCTGGGTTTGCAACGCAACTGTTAGCCACTGTATATTGCGCGCTGTGTTACAAGAACGCAAAAAAATCCCCCTGATTTTGCGCTCATATGAGTTTATGTTTTATGTGATTCTAGTTATATTGTTGTTTTATAGTTGATTTAAAATGAGATTATATGTTTGCAAAGAAAATTGTGGACTCAGAAATGGGACTAGAACCAACTTTAATCATAATTTGTTCTCGCGCCTTTTGTTGTAAGATAAAAATCAGGTCAGTATAATTCAATTAGACAAGGATAGTTCTTAAGAGGACAAAAGAGTTAAGATTGCAAGAATGAGTAATTTATCGTTTCTTAAGGAACTTAGAATATTCTGCTCCCTCATAGTGCAGTGGCAACAAATACTGAGAGAAAACCAGTAACTTTTGGTGAAACGTGAGCTAACTAAATACTGCGGAAGTGGGAACAGGACAGGTCTTGAGAGAGGAGCTGCAAAGAATGGAGATCTGACCTTGGAAAAGCCTATTAAAAAAAGTCTTCATTAGTCTTCATTAATTAAACAGGCAAAAAAACAAATGAGCAGGCCCAAAACAAGAGTAAGTTTGCTTGGCATTATGTAGTGTTTCAGCTAATTATATCAAGTAGATGACTACTGCCTACTGCATTTCCTTAGGGTTAGAAGCATAGAAAATTTGATGAAATCAAAAGTTACGGACATGGCAGCGGAACACTCTGGGATGTCGAGGCTCACATATATACAGTATACAGTTCTTATTTCAGTTTGGTAGGAAGTGTTTGCCTAGAGAGGAGCTAGCGGGTATTAACTTTCAGAAAGTTCATGAAGGTAGGACTCTCGAAATCATGCGTTTTCCTTCAAAATTCTGGATTATGGTGATGTTTGGGTCAGATTCTGTCTCTGCAAGTACTGGAAACATCTGTGTTTCACAAAAAAAAAAAAAAAAAAAGCTCACTACTTTATTTTCTTTCATCTTTCTGAATTAAAAAACAAACATTTTGAAGTGAAGGACTTGTAATCTGCATTCCCAAGTATCAAATTGCTGCAGGTGTGTTTGCTAGTGCCCAGAAGGCAAGATCTGTTTGAACCAGGTTATTTTCTTTGAAGTTCCTCTATAAACTTTACAGCTAAATGGCTAGGACTGATTTGCTTAGGGATGGAGTCTTTGTTTAAATTTTTATATGTCTAGCTTAATGCTCTGAAATATGTGATGAAAAAATGTTTGTTTCTGATCCACTTCATAAAAAAAAAATAAAAATAATTGTGTGGGGATATTTTCCTTCCAAAATAACTGAAAGGGGAAAACTATTCTCTACGTAGACTGTGATGCAGTTAGTCTGATTCGGCTGCTGGCACAGGAAAACTCTAATGGACACGCACCACCGTCAAAAACTCCAGACAAAAATGATGAGAGGCTTTCGCTGATGAAGTCAGGGTGGGATAAGCTTGGAGGAAAAGCAATGTATCTTTGGGTGACTCCCTGCTTGCCTAATGAGTCTGTGCAGCAAAGGTGCAACTTGTCAGAACAAAGCCAGGCTTCTGAGGCGATGCCTTGAAGAGGGTTACGGTGAAGTTAAGGAGTTGAAAGAGGGAGATAGTGTTTCAGACAGCGAAGTTAGTCATCCTCACATCCAGTTAAATCCCTACTTACTGCTGAGCGGTTTTTGTTAACCATGTGTGCGTCACGCCAGCCCCGCAGCCCGGCCAAGCCGAGGGGCTTTGCCCGGGGGAGCGAGGCGCCCTGCTCGGCGGATTACGGTCCCACCTCCCCGAAACACGCCAAGTGACTGGTTTTGCTCAGGTCTGATTTATATACCGCCCTTTACGCAGCCGATGAAGTGCGGCTGTGTTACACAGCCAGCATTTAGATTTGGGAGCGGGGCTGTGAAAGGCACATTGTGCTCGGTGGACTGCTGTCTGCCGCGGTCGGCCACGCTATGCCCCGTCCTATTGAGACCTCAAAAGCAGAGCACAGCTGTGATGAGTTTCCAGATCTGTTTGGCCGTGGGGACCGGCCCTGGTATGCGTGCGAGCCGGGGGGAACATCCCTCTCCCCTCACGGTTTCTGCCTGGGGGGCTGGCAGCAGCTTCTGAGCAGTGAATTTACAGGGGCGGGCGGCTGGGGCCAAATTAGTTGTGGTTTCAGAGGGCTTTCCAGAGCTTTGCTATGCTGTAGCACGCAGCCCCACGA